AAATATTTGTGAGAAAAATGTATCTATTTAAATTCAAACTTAGGTGTAAATGAATGGAATCTTTTCTGGTAAAAGAAGTGCAGTAGGAATAGGAATGTTAAGGGCATTACTATGGGATGTTGAGGAGGAGCAGGTCACCACACAGACTGGAAAACCAGCTCAGAATGCAGTCTGTGACCACTGAAGAAACTGTGCCAGTCTAACAAATTTGGCTCTGTCTTAGTTTTAGCATTCTCTACCTATCTACCTGTTCACTGCCTATCTGTAAGTTCTTTGAAGACAATTTCTCTTTTATATTTCTTTTTTCTCTTTTTCTTTTTTTTGGGGGGGAGGGGATGGAGTCTTGCACTTTCGCCTGTCCTGAAGTGCAATGGTGTGATCTCAATTCCCTGCAACCTCTGCCTCCAGAGTTCAAGTGATTCTCCTGCCTCAGCTTCCGAGTAGCTGGGATTACAGGTGCCCGCCATGATGCCTGACTAATTTTTCGCATTTTTGGTAGAGACAGGGTTTCACTATGTTGGCCAGGCTGGTCTTGAACTCCTGACCTCATGATAGGCCTGCCTTGGCCTCCCAAAGTGCTGGGATTACAGGCGTGAGCCATCCTGCCTGGCCTGTTTCTTTGAATTTGTCTGAACTTTCTTTTGTGTGTTTGACACATTAAAGGCAGAGAGCAAGCACTTGCTCTGTGATAAATGATAAAGCCCCTAGATAACTTTACACTCTGTTCCCTCCCTCTTAGTCCACCTTCTGCCTCCTAATGATTTTATTATTGACATACTCCTACCATTTCCTTACTTAGTGGTCAAGTTATTTTCTGCCCCATCTCCTTGACTAGTTTTTTATCCCTCCATTGCCTAAATAATATTTTCTGAACTGTGTTCCTGGGAATACTTATTTCCAGAAAATGGAATTCCATTGGAATTTCACAATTCAAGTGAGTTTGAAAAATAATTTCATTGTTATTTCTTAGAGCCTTTATATGTAATGTACTCTCCAAGGGGATGTTCTATTCAGCATTTCCCAAGCTTGTTTGACCAGCAATCCATTTTTTGTGAAATACCTTTTGGCTTACAAGAAGAACTATACATTTCTCACCGTAGTACACAGCCTTTTCAAGACCCTCCCCGCTGCCTTTCTTTCTGGATTCTTTTCCATCACTTTTTCCCCTACATTCCACTAACAGCAACTCTGAGCTTTTCTGTTTCTGCCATGCCACACGTGTGTGTTTGTCCGTGCTTTTGTAGAGCATGATTGTTCTGCCCTGAATGCCTCTCGACCACACCTTTCACTCCAGCCTTTACTCTTTTATGTCCTTAGGTTTTGATTTCTTTGGAGAGGTCTGTATTTATTATCCCAGGTATCGTATCCTTCTCCTTTTATTACACTATCATTACATTGGCTGTATGTCTTCATTAGTGTACCGAATACAGTTTGATTTCTATGCATACTTTGTTCTTCCTCTAGAACGAGTTTCTTGAAGCCAGCAACTATTCTTCTTGGTTTCCAAAGAACTAGATTTCAATACATGCCAAATTAATGAATAAATACAGAAGTAAGGCCGGGCGCGGTGGCTCAAGCCTGTAATCCCAGCACTTTGGGAGGCCGAGGCGGGTGGATCACGAGGTCAAGAGATCGAGACCATCCTGGTC